TATATATATATATACAAGACGCCCTAACCCTCGCCCCAAATTGCAACAAAAAACCCAAGGCAAACTAAACGTACAGACTTCAACATAAATTAAGAACAGCTTGCAAAAACTCTGAGTGGTCTTCTTGGGTCGACCTGCACATGGGCGTTCTTGAACTGATTCAGTGGCTTGATAGCGCTGCCTCAGGCGGACAACGACAGAGTGTGACACTGCGAGCCTTCTGGCAACTTCTTGGGCTCCAACTCCATCCTGCAGCCATGCCATAGCTCTGGCACCATCAAAGTCTCCCAGCTTTCGTCTTGGTGGCATGTTGATGTGATACAGGATTTTGCGCAAACGGCGGCTTATATTGCCACCACAGTGAGCACAGGTAGAGACCGTACGTCCGTTTATGACGTGCGCCAGAAGTTTTAACTGAGGAAAGTCCGTGGTGTCGCACACAAGTCGATAAAAAACAGCAAATTTGGCCAAAATTCCCCGAGGATTTCCGTGCTGCACGTGGCGGTTTTGGTCCTTTATGAGGCTTTGCAGTATGCGTTGGTAACCCATTAACACTTTCTGAGCAAAAGTTTTGAAACATTTCTTGCTGTCTTTTTAAAGGATATTAAAAAAAATTAGCACTGTTTGTCAAAGTGGTCCTTAACTTTTTTTGAAGTCTGTGTATAACAACCCCCCCCCCCCAACAAAACCCAAAGGGTCAAGTTGTCTGCCCCCCCACCCTTCAACACACACAGGACCAAATACCTGGCAAGTCTCCACTGAAGGCTCTCCCTTCCTCAGCCTGTCGGCCACAGGTTTTGGGATCATCTGGTACAACAGAGCGTCCGTCTTCTGCATCTCCTGGTCCAGTTGTACCATGCTTTGTTCCAGCAGACGACTCTTCTCTTGTTCCTGCCAGGTCACACAAGGACACAAGGATTATTTTTAGTGTGGTCAAAACTTCATGGTGCAACTTATCGTCTGAAAAAAAAAATCCCTAGCCTATTCATATGAGATTGACGCCATCTGATTAGTAGAAAAAAGTGCGTACATATTAAAAATAACAAGGCGCAACTAATTGTCATAAAAAAAATAATTGTGGTCAAAACTTCGTGATGCAACTTGTTGTCTTAAAAAAAATCCCTTGCCCATTTATATGAGATTGACGCCATCTGATTAGTAGTGAAAAAGTACGTACATACTTAATTATACAAGGCGCAAATTATTGTCAAATGTGAGGCGTGCTGGCAAAATTAGTTACTTCTCAGACTTTAGCCCTATAGACGTAGATACGTCAAATTTATTGGTTTAGTTTATACAATGTATTTGTATGAAATGATAAAAGAAATGTTGAACTTGAAAAAAATGGCATCCGTTAATGATCTACAAATTTGACCGATGTGTCCATTTTTGTCCCATATCTCCATTCGAAGACTGCGAGAAGTAACTCATTTTGCAAGCATGCTTCACATTTTTAGAGTGGTCAAAACTTCGTGGAGCAATTTATGGTCTTTAAAAAATCCCTTGCCCATTGATATGAGATCGACGCCATCTGATTAATAGAAATAGTGTATTACGTACATACTTAGTATAACAAGGCGCAATTTATTGTCAAATATTTCCTCAACTAAAGAACATAAAGTCTCCAGCTTTTGCACAATGACTTGTGTCAATTTGTCGATCAATACTTTTGTAAACACCTGTTATCTGTATTCTAGAAAATTCTTTAATATATACAAATTAAAAGTCCCAGTGGGTGGTTTCTACAGGTTTTTAAGAGGTTTACGGCAGTGACACCAACGATTTTAATTAAAAGTCCATCATGTTTTTCTAACCGCACGATTATGCTTATTGAACGCACATATTACTAGCTTTTATTCCCACCCCCAAATGTGTTCACTCTAAAATTAATTTCTCATAACAAGTTTAGCTCTAAAAGTGTCTTTCGTGAGCTGTGACGTGGGTCATATGCGTATGCAAAATGTATGTGAGAAGCTTGAAGTGCCATTTTCCACTTGGCATTTATAGTATTTTGTATAAATTCGTGAAGAAAAAAATAAGTAAAACTAGCCTCAGTTGTTTTGGAAAAATAGTATCAAGTTAAGACAAATTGATGCAAACTGCTGTGCAAAGTATGGATGACATTGATTCACCCGACAAACAGATTTTTGACAATAAGTTGCCTCACGAATTTTTGACCGCATTATAGTACTTTTTATTTTTACGAACTTGAGCTATAGCTAGAAAGATTCTAGCAGCAGATTCCCTCAACACGTTATCAAAATAACACAAGATATTTTTCGTGTGTCGGCGGTGTCCGACATCAGCGTAGCAAGTGGCCTTAAGCGGTACTTTTTTAAAAATCCCTTGCCTATTTATATGAGACTAGCTGGGAACACGTTCGATGAACGGACTTAAAAGAATCGTCGATCATCAAGTCATTGTGGGTTTAGTGCACAGCTTGTGAACGGAAGCCTCACTTGTTCACAATGGCGTCTAAGAAGACGGACTTTCCCAAGATTAGATGTAAACGAAACTAATGAAAAGCTGAAAATTAAACTACAGTAACTTCAGATTCGTCAATGAAACTGTACACCCTTTAAATGATTATGAACCACCTTTATTTTTTTCAGATTCGAAAGTTAAGTGGTTGGGAAGTTTTAGGCGGCCAAAGTGACGAACGTTCACAAATATAATAGGTATAGATTGACGTCATCTGATTAGTAGAAAAAAGTGCGTATGATAGTGTCCAACAGTGTATTGCGCAAACTTGGTATGACAAGTAACTGTTACACATAGAGATTCAAGGAGTATAGATGTAAGACATTGATCTGAGAGCAATGATAGTTTTTAGAAAGTATGGTGGTGATGGGTGATGATGTGGGGTTGCGTTTAAGTAATGTTAGCTATAGTCCTATCTGCCTCTGCTCCAATGAGTCACGAGGGGAGTGGGCACCCTCTATCCCGTTCCCTACTGGAACCATCTTTACGATCACCCTGCAAGAGGTAGTGATTTTGTGAATTTGGATTTGGGG